ACTACTACTACTACGGCTACTACTGCTACGGCTACGACTACTACTACTACTACTACTACTAATACTACTACTACCACTACCACGACTAGCACCACTACTACTACTACTACTACTACTACTACTACTACTACTACTACTACTACTACTACTACTACGACACTACTACTACTACTACTACTACTACTACTACTACCACTACTACTACCACTACTACTACTACTACTACTACTACTACTACTACTACTACTACTACTACTACTACTACTACTACGATTACTACTACTAGTACTACTACTACGACCTGCTACGACCTAATACTACCTAATACTACCTACCTACTCCTATTCACTATTACATACTACTACCTTGTACTACCAACTACTACCTATTAGTCTTACCAACTACTACCGACTACTACCCACTAGCACCTACTACTACATACTACTACAATCCTCCTGGGGGGCGGGACCCAGGGCGGGAGCAAAAACTTACAATTCCCCCCTGCTCCTGGACGCGCCCCGCCTCATCCCCTCCCCCATCTCGTTTTTGCCGTGACGACGGCGACGGAGAGAGGGGGCAGAGAGGCTTCTGAGGAGCCTCTGAGAGGCCTCTGAAGAGCCTCTGAGAGGCCCCTTGTGAAAGGCTTATGAGAGGCCTCTGAGAGGCCTCTGAGGGGCCTCTGAGAAGCTTATGAGGGGCCTCTGAGGGGCCGCTCAACGGCCTCTGAGAGACCTCTCAGAAGCCTCTGAGGGGCCTCTGAGAGGCCTCTAAGAGCCTCTCAGAGGCCTCCGAAGGGGCCTCTGAGAGGCGCTAGAGAAACTTTTGAGAGGCCCCGCAGAAGCCTCTCAGAGGCCCCTCAGAGGCCTCTGAGAGGCTTCGAAAAAGCATCTGAGACGCCTCTGAGAGGCCTCTGAGAAGCCTCTGAGGGGCCTCTGAAAGGCTTCTGACAGGCCTCTGAGGGGCCTCTCAAAGACCTCTGAGAGGCCTCTGAGAGACCTCTGAAGGGCCTCTGAGAGGCATCTGAAAAACCTCTGAGAGGCCTTTAAGGGGCCCCTCTGGCCACCAAGCCCCGGATTGCCCTACGACTACTACTACTACTACTACTACTACGACGACGACGACGACGACGACGACGACGACGACGACGACGACGACAACGACGACGACTACTACTACTACTACTACTACGACTACTACTACTACGCCTACGCCTACGCCTACGCCTACGCCTACGCCTACGACTACGACTACGACTACGACTACGACTACGACTACGACTACAACTACGACTACGACTACGACTACGACTACGACTACGACTACGACTACGACTACGACTACTACTACTACTACTACTACTACTACTACTACTACTACTAACTACGACTACGACTACTACTACTACTACTACTACTACGACTACTACTACTACTACTACTACGACTACTACTACTACTACTACTACTACTACTACTACTACTACTACTACTACGACTACGACTACGACTACTACTCCTGCTACTACTACTGCTACTGCTACTGCTAATGCTACTGCTACTGCTACTGCTACTGCTACTGCTACTGCTACTGCTACTGCTACTGCTACTGCTATTGCTACTGCTACTGCTACTGCTACTGCTACTGCTACTGCTACTGCTACTGCTACTGCTACTGCTACTGCTACTGCTACTGCTACTGCTACTGCTACTGCTACTGCTACTGCTACTGCTACTGCTACTGCTACTGCGACTGCTACTGCTACAACGACGAAGAATGATTAAGAACAGTGGCCGCGACCACCACGATTACTGACACCACCTGCCTACCGACTTACCTAGCTACGTACCTACCTCTCCTTCCCCTCCCTCCCCAATCCCTCCGTCGCCTGCCTCCTCCTCCTCCTCCCAGCCCCCCATCCCTCCTCTCCCTCCTCATTCTCCTCCTCCTCCTCCTCCCCCCCCCCCCCCTCCCCCTCCTCCTCCCCTCCTCCTCCCCCTCCTCCTCCTCCTCCTCCTCCTCCTCCTCCTCCTCCTCCTCCTCCTCCTCCTCCCCCTCCTACTCCTCCTCCTCCTCGATCAGGAGGAACCAGATGCGCGATCCACAGGCTCCCTTTGCGGCACCCACCTCCGAACGGCATGAAGGCGAAATCCGACGCCATCTCGTTCGGGTAGAGCCCAGCCTCACCCGCGCATGCGGCTGGTCACCCTCCTCCACCTTGTCCTCCTCCTCCCCTCCCTCTCCTCCTCCTCTTCCTCCTCCTCCTCCTCCGCCTCGCCATCGTCTTCCTCCCTCCTCCTCCTCCTCCTCCTCCTCCTCCTCCTCCTCCTCGACACCGTCGCTTCTTCTCGAGACTGGGGCTGCTCCTGCTGTCACTGGCCAGCACCTGCATGTTGTTTCTTCTTCTTGCCGCCTCCAGGGCTCGTGGACTCCGATGGCCATGCCCGTCGCCATTTCGAAAGCCGAGGCCCGACGAGGAGGACGCCCGCGGCCCACACCGACGCCGACCCGGCGCCCACCGTCTTGGACGAAACGCTGTTTACGCCAGTCCGCGGTTCCGCGGACGGGCAGCAAGCATGGGAGTGCCTTGCGGCACTAGTGGCACTGCGTCTGTGGAGGCATGTCTCTGGCAAGCGATCGCTTACACTCCAGATCAAAGGCGACTCCATGACCATGCTGTCTCTGGTCGTCAACTTGCGACCCAGCACCCGTCAGCTGGGCCACATAGGCATGGAGACCGCGCTGGAGTATGCCCAGGCGGTCTTCGTGCCCGTCCTCGCCGAGCACATCCCAGGGTAGCCAACATCACGGCGGACGTGCCTTCCCGCCAACCCCAGACCGGCTACCAGCCCAAGCAGCAACCCATGCTGCGGAACTCAGTCGGTCGAGAAGTGCCTGTAAGCGACAGGGGCTATTACGCCACGCTCGCGATGCCCGACGTGCCGAACAAGGGGGGATGAATGTGGCGCGTCAGCAGTCGTTTGGTCGGACCGAGCAGCGGCGACTGACTCGGCGTGGCCAACCGTGAAAGCGTGCCGAGGGGTGTGTTGACGAGTCTGATCCTCCGGGGGTGTCTGGACAGCATTGCTCCAGGACCTCCCCAGACGAGCTAACAAATTGGGGTCCCCACCCCGGGATTAACACGGCTCCTCGTCCGGTGGAGTCTGGATTGTATTGCTCCAAGGGCGTCCAGCCCCAAGGACCCCCAGAAGTGCCCCTCGCCGTCGTTGGGCCTGAGCACCATGTCCAGAGACAGCACACCTCTGAGTCCATCCCCTACCACGCGCATCGCCTGGGAAAGGAGCAAGATCATGCAGGGCGGCATCGTGCAGCAAGCCGAAATGCCGTATGGTGAGATCCATCTGGGCGGCACGTGGATGATCCTCCTCCTCATCCTCATCATCATCCTCCTCCTCCTCTTCCTCCTCCTCCCGCTTCTCCTCCTCGTTATTACACCTTCCCCTTCTTCCATGGCTCCTCCTGCTGCTCCTCCTGCTGCTGCTGCTGCTGCTGCTCTGCTGCTCCGCTCCACCTCCTCCTCCTCCAGCACCTCCTCCACCTCCTCCTCCTCCTGCTCCTCCTCCTCCTCGTCCTCCTCCTCCTCCTCCTCCTCCTCCTCCTCCTCCTCCTCCTCCTCCTCCTCATAATCATCCTCTTCCTCCCTACCCTCGGGGCGGCCCGACGACCGCCGGGCCTTTTCCGGATTGTACCCAGCCCAGCGGCCCTTGCCAGGGATGCTGGTTCGCCATCTGCGGGGGTTGAACTTGTCCGCGTCCTCGCCCCAGAGCTCCTCGATGCGGAAACAGAGGAGGAAAGAGAGAAGGGAGGAGGAGGAGGAGGAGGAGGAGGAGGAGGAGGAGGAGGAGGACGACGAGGAGGAGAAGACTAGTGGCCCCGGCCAGCAGACCCCTCCCCACTGGGAGCGGTCGCTGTCTAAGGCAGCCAGCGACCCATTGGGAGAGCCGCCCCCTTTGGTGGGCGGCGGAGGTGTCTCCGGGCTCCCAACCACAGAGCTCCGGGGCGCGCGAGAGACCCGCGCTCGCCGCCAGAGGAATTCGGACGAGGAGGAGGAGGAGGAGGCGGAGGAATTAGGACGAGGAGGAGGAGGAGGAGGAGGAGGAGGAGAGGAGGAGAGGAGGAGGAGGAGGAGGAGGAAGAAGGAGGAGGAGGAGGAGGAGGAGGAGGAGAAGGAGGAGGAGGACGAGGAGGAGGAGGAGGAGAGAGATCTGCCACAGTGCACCCTGGCACGTTGACGCGAGGTAGAATGCCAAGGGCTGTCTGGCAAGGTTGGGCTTCTGCACTCCAGAAGGGGGCCCCCCCTCCACTCGCAGACCTGTGCACACATCGCCCTGCCCCTCTCGAGGCCACGATCTCTGCTCTCACAAACGATGTATCCACGAGAGCCGAGGCCACGACCCCTCGTCGAGGGCTCCTAGCTTCGCGCTTCGCGCTGCGCGAAGCGCGAAGTGCGAATAACTTCGCGCTCTCGCGCCGCCTCCAGTGGAGAAGAGGAGGAAGAGGAGGAATCGGAGCGGAACCGCGAAGCGCGAAGCGCGAATAACTTCGCGCCCTCGAGGGCGCCCATACCTCGATCAAGAGGGCCCATACAGGCAGCCAAGAACACCAAGATTGCCCAAGGCAGCTCGGAGACGGCTCAAGATGGCCCAAAGGCGGCCGGATGTGGCCGCAGGACGGCCTGAGATGCCTCCAGGAGGGCACAGGAGGGACCTCCCACGAGGTCCGAAGAAGCAAAAAAAACATGGAGGTCCCTATAGTTTCCACGGCTTTTCATAGTGTTCGAAGTCTCGCCTTTTCTGGCCTCCGTCAGCTCAAGACGGCCCAGGAAGCCTCCAGAATGGCCCAAGGCGGCCACACAAAGGCCGGGTCCCAAGATGGCCCTCGAGGACACCACCGTGGCCCCAGGGGCATCCCAGAAGGCCCCAAGAGGCATCCAAGAGTGCCCAAGAGGGCCTCCCGTGACGTCCCCCGAATCCACCATACGG